CCTCAGAGATGATTCATTACCCTTACCTCCCCTCTAACCAATCAGCTCCCAGCAAAATCGCAGACCCTCCAACCCATAGTGTCTTGTGATTTTGCCCTTTATAATCTACATGCCATTGAGGAGTTGGGGTTTTGAGCATTAGCTTCCCGTTCTCCGTCCTCCTGGATGGTGCCATTCATCAATAAAACAGCCAACTTCTTTCCAACTTGGGCCCAGCAAATGCCTCCCCCCACCCCCGCCCCCCGGCCCCCGAAAGAAGGTAGCAAGAAGAAGGGCCATTTTGCCATCAACGACCAGAGAACACACCATCAACATCCACAAGCACATCCATGGAGTGGATTTCAAGAAGTGTGCCCCTCGGGCACTCAGAGAGATCCAGAAATCTGTCATGAAGGAGATGGAGACTGCAGATGCAGCACTGACACCAGGTTCAGCAAAGCTGTCTGAGCCAAAGGAATAAGGACTGTCTGTCCCATACAGTATTAGGGTGCAGTTGTCCAGAAAACATGAGGATAAATATTTCCCAAACAATCTTATATATGTTGGTTACCTCTGTACCTGTCACCACTTCCAAAAATCTATAAACAGTTATTGTGAATGAGAACTAACTACTGATTGTCAAAGAAGGTTACAAAACTGCAAAAATAAATTTAAAAGTAAAAATAAATAAAATAGTATTTCTCTACTGTAGTTCTGTTTCATGTTTGGCTCCACTAGTGCCAGGTGGACAAACTCTTTCTGGTCTATAATCCCACTGGTCACATTGAATTTTACTATAGTATTTGTTCTTATTTTTCTCTATTTGAAGACAGAGATCATGTTAGAACAGACAGAATAATGTAAAATCATGGCCTAGTAATTTGTAAATAACATTCCACAAAGTCAATCTTGCCTCTCTTCAGAGCCCTGAATGAACATCCCCAAAACTAGCCTATTTGTATAAAAATAAACATCATGGTGTCCTGGCCAGTGTGGCTCAGTTGTTTGGAAGGTTGTCCTGTACACAAAGTTCGAGGGTTCGATTCCTAGTCAGGACACTAGCCCAGGTTGTGGATTCGGTTGGGTTGCATACAGGAGGCAACCAACTGATGTTTATCTCTCGCATTGATGTTCCTCTCTCCTCTCCCTTTCTCTCTCTGTAAAATCAATTAGAAAACAACAACATATCCTCAGGTAAGAGTTTAAAAAGAAAAGTGAATTCCTTGGTGAAAGAATCGATCCAACCTAAAGAAATTAAAGTAAGCAACTGAAATAAATTTTCAACTTAATTTTCACCATGTTCTTTGCAAACGTTTTGCCTTTGTTAAATTACCAGAAAAATGCAGGCACACTTGTGGACAATCACATCCATTCCCTGTACTGCTCTGCCCAGAGAAATCCAGCCCAACATGGTGACATCGGAACAATTCACCAACATTTTCCCTTGCAAGTTAAGAAAACAGAACCACCCTGCCTTGCTCCAGGAAGAAAGGCAGGGCGGTCCCCAAGGCCCAGAGAATGCCATTTGGTGCAGTGTTTCCCGGAATTTTCTGGCCCAGAGACAAAACACATTTACTATTTTGAACAGATCAACACTGTCACCCAGTGGACAGACAACTAGGCAGGTTGAGGCCTTGGCATTGCCCTTGGCTTGACAGCCAGACACAGACAGCCAGGGTTTGAATAGGAGCCTGTTTATCTTAGGTGATCACAAATGTTTAATATTCTCTAACAAGAAATGCAGAGGATCTCAGCTGACAAGCCTTTGATTTGGATATCACAGATGAGCTCTGTGTAAGGAGGACAAACACTCACATGCTTCCACTGGGCTGATCCTTTCTTTTTCTCTTTTCTTTTTTCACCATCAGTAAATTTATAGGAAGCGCATACTACAAACCAGCCAAGCGAGTCTGCCAAGACTCACAGCATCAAACAGGCCTGCAGGAGCAGGGTGGTATTTGATCGCAGGCCAGGTACTGTGGGGAGACTTCCTTACCACAGAATAAGACTCATTGTCCATTGTTCAGAGGGACAGGGATGTGTATTTTAAAGACTGAAAATAGATTTTTGTGTGTAATCGGATTGAATTCTGAGGAAGGTACTCGGTTTACTCTAGTGACACCAGTGGATGAGTTACCCTTGCTTGCTGCTTAGTGTGTTTCTCAAAGGACATGCATAGGTCTAGCCTCTGCCCCATTTCCTTTGTGCAGAGTCTCTTTTTTCTTGTCTAAATGGCACTTGACACTTGGAATAAACAGTTTACTTTTTATATTAAGATAAGAGGCTCTTTGCCTTTCATGCTAAACGTCCCTTTCAGACAATCTGGAACTCATCGACAAGGAACCTGAGCGTCTAGTTATCACTTTAGACTTCTTAAGAATGTCTGCAGCAGTGGAAGCTGAGACTTCTCTTTATAGGCGTTCTTGTAAAATCTCATGATTAAAAGCAAAGTCTCTGCTTAAGGTGAGAAAATCTGAGTTCAAACGCTGACCCCACTGCTTGCCAGCTTCTTGACCTCCCACAGGTTACTTAATCTCTCTAGTGTCAGTTTTCACCTTTATCTTCAGGGATAATATCAGTACCTCCTGGGTTGTGGGGATTTAGATTAAAAAAACAACAACACACAAACATTTGAATAATTTAGCATAGAATCTGGCCACAGAGGAAAAAGTTCCATAAATATTAGTGTTCGCATTATCAAATTATAGCAGTAGGACTTGTTATTCCTAAAAAGCAACTTTAATAAAGTACCTCTAGACTAGCAGATAAAATCATGACATTTTTAAAACCAGAAGGGGCCAAAACCGGTTTGGCTCAATGGATAGAGCATCGGCTTGGGGACTAAAAGATCCTGGGTTCAATTCCGGTCAAGGGCATATCCGCCATATCCCCAGTAGGGGGTGTGCAAGAGGCAGCTGATCGATGACTCTCTATCTCTCTCCCTTCCTCTCAGTACAAAATCAATAAAATATATATATTTTTAAATAAATAAATAAAACCGGAAGGGTCCTGAGAGGCCATCTAGCCCATTGCTTCTCATTAAAATGAATCAGGGAACATTATAAAAAACACTGATATCCCAAGAAGCCAGATAAAGGAATACTACGGTATGAATCTTTTAGGTGAAATTCTAGATCTGTAGTGACAGAAAGTAGAAAAGTGATCATCTGGGGATAAGGTTGGAAGGTCTTATAGCTAAAGGGCCAAAGGAAACCTCTGGGGTGATGGTAAAATTTTCCATCTTGATTGTAAAGGTAGTTACACCAGTGTACACATTTGTCAAGTCATTGGAATTGTACACTTATATAAGTAAGTGCATTATATTGCATGTGAAATATATCATCATAAAGTTGATGTAAAGAGGATCCTGGGACCTGGCCAGTGTGGCTCAGTTGGTTAGGACTCATCCTCATACCAAAGGGTCAAAAGATCATCTGTTCGATTCCCAGTCAGGGTACATACCCAGGTTGCAAGTTTGATCCCTGATGGATGGTTTCTCTCTCTCTCTCTCTCTCTCTCTCTCTCTCTCTCTCTCTCTCTCTCTCTCTCTCTCTCTCTCCTCTTTCCTTTCACTCTAAAATAAATAAATAAATAAATACATAAATAAATAAATAAATAAAATAAGAGTCAATTAAAACATTAAAAAAAATTTTAAGAGAAAATGCTGGGTCTCACCCTTAGAAATTCTGATTTAATTGTTCTAGTGTGAGGCCCAGAAATCTTTTTTTTTCATTTTTTTTTTCATGCACCTAAGGCATCAGTCAGGATTGGGAACTGTGGTCTAATCCAGTCCTTTCCTCTTCCAGTTGAGGTAACCCAAACACATACAGCAGGTTAGAGTGGTGTAGAACTAAAAACCAAGTCTCCAGGTACTTGTGCTCCAAACCTTCCCTTTTACTAATAATATTCCCTTCTCCCTGAAATTTCTTTCTCCTTCTTCTTCTTTCCTCTTTCAAAATCCCTCCCATCTTTAGAGCCCAGCTCACATATTACAAGAAGTCTCAGGTTGCAGTCTCCCCATTGGACTAGAAGTTCCTTGTCAGGAAAGACTATAGCTTTTTTATTTTTGTATCCTTGGTACCCAGTACTGTGCTAGGCACCGAGCAGTCATTCAACAAACATTTATTAAATAGAAAAATTGGTGGAAGGAAATTAACATTTATTAAATGCTCATGAGATGCCAAGAATTGAAATAAGTGCTTCATGCACACTATCTCACTAAATTTTTATAATTTTATAAATCGGTTATCATTTCCCCTTTTGTAAGGGAGCAATCAAGCCCAGAGAGGCTTAGTAATATGGCCATGGTCACATAGCAAAGAAAGTAGTAGAACCAAGGTTTGAACTAAAGTCTGTTTTCAAAGTTCATGCTTTCTCTATCAGATTAGGCTATCTCATTTATGGTAGTTACTCTATTCAGTCGTTTTTACCTTTTTATTAAATTTATTGGGGTGATATTGGTTAAGAAAACCATACAGATTTCAAGTGTTGAACTCTATAACACAACATCTGTATATTGTGTTGTGTGTTCACCACCCCAAGTCAAGTCCCCATCTATCACCAATAAACCTCTGTATACCCTCCTCCACCTTCCAAACCCATGTGCCCCCTAGCAATCACCACACTATTATTGTCTATGTATTTAGTCTTAAATTATGGATCTTCTACATCTTATCTCCTTAATTAGATTATAAGCTTCTTAAACACAAGAATTAAAAATTAGCACTTACAATCCCATATTAATTCACAGGGTGAATTCTTTGGCCACCTCCGTGTTAATAGAGTATCTAATTTTTAACTTCATTAGAGTGATTGGCCATACAGATAATCTAATAGTTATAAGAAGACCTGCATTTATAAGAAGACCTCTAGTCAAGGGGGTACCACAGAAGGTTGTGATTTGAGATGGCCTATTTCCGCATTCTCTCTAGCCTTCTGTGCACTCTGTGAATAATCTGTAAGCCATGCAAGCATCATACACAACAGTCGGTTAAAAGGGTCATATATCTCAAAGCACCTACCAAAAAAATTCCTGGAATGACATTGTGCCTTTGAACCAGAAGTGGATAATTGCTGCCTGTAAATTTAGATGCAGAGATTATGTTGTATTTGAGAAGTCGAAAGGAATCCAAACGACTCTTTAAAAAAAAAAAAAAAAAAAAAGTGGTAAGGACATTATATTCCAGGTAACCAACCTTTTGTTCTATTCAGCAGTATTTGTATCTCTGAACCAATAATTCCACTCCATTCCCACCGCTCCATTAGAAATGCCTTCATAAGCTCCTCATAGCCTTTGTATTGCCAACGCCAGTGGACATTTTCATGTTTCTTGTATTGACCTTTTTATGGCATTTGAAATTATCGAACAGTCTCCCCTTCTCAAACACTCTCCTGGGAGTCTGTGACCCCACTCATATTTTCTTCCCATTCCTCTCAATCTCCCTTCCTAGTCTTTGTCAGGCACAGCTTTTTCTCTATTTGATCTCTAAATATCTACTGTACAAAAATCTCCAAGCTTGCCTCCTGCCATTCATTCTCTTTACACACTCCTTGGGTAATTCATAATTTTAACTACTACTTGTGTCTACTAAATGCATGCGAAACCTCTTCCTCAACTGCTTCTCCCACATGAGTAAGTGTGACACCTTCTTCCCAATCCAGTCACCTCATTGTATTCCACTCTTGCTCCCTAAGCCACTTTCTACTTCACACTACTATGTGGCATGGTGGGGTGCTTAGGAGTGTGAGTCCTAGAGTACAGCTCCATGGTCTAAACCCCAGCCCATCCTCCAACCGAGGAATCCTGGACAAGTGATTCACTGTCCTGTTTCTCAGTAATGGACCTGTGCTCAATGGACTCATATGCAGAAAAGCCAGCCACTTAGGATTCTTTTTCTTTTCTTTTTTTTAAGACATGGTTCTTTAAAAAAAAAAAAAAAGTTTTACTGATTTTTTATAGAGAGGAAGGGAGAAGGATAGAGAGTTAGAAACATTGACGAGAGAGAAACATCGATCAGCTGCCTCATGCACACTCCCTAGTGGGGATGTGCCCACTACCAAGGTACATGCCCTTGACCAGAATCAAACCTGGGACCCGTCTGTCTACTGAACCAAACTGGTTAGGATTTAGGATTCTTTTGAGAATTAAATGATATTTCAGGTAAACAATTGTTGCAACATAATAAATACTCAATAAATACTTGCTCTATTGATCTTATTCTGACTTGGCATTTCTGATCAGTTCAGCAAACATTTTTGAGTGTCTATTAGATGCCAGGCGTTGGGGAGCACTGACTGCACTGAGGATGGTAGAGCCCTTGGGATTTAATGTGTATTGTCGCTACAGTGAGAAGTTGAACTCCTGATTTAGGTCTTGGTCTCTTATTCACTCAGCTTGTCTCTCTTCAGGGGAGACCTAACTCAGTTCACAAACTCACTGTCCCAGAAGCACCTCCCACAAGAAGGAAGAATTAGCAGTGACCCCATAACTGACCCTTAGGCTGAAGAATCATTCACTCATTGATTGATTCATTTATTCATTTGACAAATAAGTTTTAAGTGTTAACCATGTGCTAGGTCCATGATAGGCACTGGGGCTATACTTGTGAATAAGACATTATCCTGCTATCAAGATCCTCCCAGTCTATTGGCAGAGAAATCCAGCTTTAAAGCAGGCTGGGAAGGTGAAGCTGCTACTCCCAGATCTTGTGCTCCCAGAACCTACCATACACCCTCTGTGGCTCAGGCCACCCTTTCAGGAGCTTTATCTACACCCCTGAATCTTCCACCAGAGTGTCCAATGATTCCTACTGCTATTCAGCTTCCTAGTACAGCTCGACAATTTCAGTACCATGAAGGAGGCCAGGGGTCCCTGATTAGGTGGAATGAAAGAGAATGAATGCCAGGCAACCTTCTGTAGGAGACTCAAGTTCTTGGGTGAGTTTTCTGTGTTTTATAGCTGTCCACATTCACTAGTGTCCTTAGTACAGGATCGTTCCTTTCCTACTTATGATCTAAAAAAAGAATCTACTTTTCGGAAGCATAAGTTTCCTAGCCAATTATACCCAGACTCCCTTCACCATTCAAAGATACAAAATGTCATGTCACCTCCCTGCAATACTGCTCTCAACTCTGCTAGAAAAAATAATGTTTCCTTAGTTAAAATTTACATTTTAAGTTGTGTTGTTTATTTATACTCTGCCTTTTACAGAAAATACCTGAAGTGGTTTGAAGGAAGAATCGTGTAAAAGAAAATTATGAATTATAAAAATCATGATGAGAAAATTTCAATATAAACAGAAGCTCTAGATCCAAAAGAAAAAATGGATTTCAGATAAGTGGTAAGTAATTTTTTTACCCTACAGTTAAATTCAGCCTAAAACGTTGTTCTGTGCTTTTAAAAAATATATATTTCTATTGATTTCAGAGAGGATGGGAGAGGGAGAAAGAGAAACATCAATGATGAGAGAGAAGACACAATCGTCTGGTCGGCTGCCTCTTGCATGCCCCCTCTTGGGGATTGAGTCAGCAACCCGGGCATGTGCCCTTGACCAGAATCAAACCCAGGACCCTTCAGTCCACAGGCAGATGCTCTATGCGCTGAGCCAAACCAAGTACGTTCTATACTCCAAGGCAGTGGTCAGCAAACTCATTAGTCAACAGAGCCAAATATCAACAGTACAACGATTGAAATTTCTTTAGAGAGCCAAATTTTTTCAACTTAAACTTTTTCTAATACCACTTCTTCAAAATAGACTCGCCCAGGCCGTGGTATTTTGTGGAAGAGCCACACTCAAGGTGTCAAAGAGCCACATGTGGCTCGCGAGCCGTAGTTTGCTGACCACAGCTTTAAGGCAAAGTAAAGAGAGGAACCCAGTAGGGTACCAAAATCTTATGGACAGGAAAGAGGGCACACTCCAGAGCCTCGTGGAGAGTAAAGCTTTCTAGCTTCTAATTCAGAGAGACAATTGCCACACTGGACTTCACACAGGTTATACCAGGCCTGTAGCAAATAATGTAACACCCCTTAAAATAAGCTCAGGGTATATTCAGGGCAACATCCTAAAAAGGCAACTTATTGGAAGCAGTTTGGCAAAGGGTGACAGGGCCCAGGCTCTCAGCTTTCACATGTTTCAACCTAATGGAGAACAAGACCTGAGGGTCCCTAAGCATCTTTTATTTTTTTTAAAATATAATTTATTGATTTTTTTTTACAGAGAGGAAAGGAGAGAGATAGAGAGATAGAAACGTCAATGAGACAGAAACATCGACCAGTTGCCTCTTGCACACCTCTTACCAGGGATGTGCCCACAACCAATGTATATGCCCTTGACCGGAATTGAACCTGGGACCTTTCAGTACGCAGACTGATGCCTAAGCATCTTTTAAAGTCTCCCCTGGGGCTATCACTGGGGTTGGAGTAGGTACCTGAACATGCAGGGAAGAGCCCCGGTGGGAGTGGGCCCTCAATGTCAGGTAAGGAACTTGGACTTGACCTGAAGAAAAGGCCTTAGAGGATTTTAAGCAGAATGATGCAGTCATATTCGGATATTAAAAATAATACCCTGCAACATGTAGGAAATGTCAGAGCGACTAAGACCAGAAGCAGGAAAATTAGGCAACTTATTGGAAAAAATCAGGTAGGAGATGGTAAAGGCCTAAAATAAGCAGAAGCAATGGGATTGAGAAACAGGGATGACTAGGAAAAAATGTCTCAGGGACAGAATCGATAAGACATAAAGGCTTATTAAATGTGTTGAGGGTAATGGCTACCATGTGGAAGAGGTTTTAGGAGTGCATACTCAGACCTACTGGCAGAGGCTACTTGGAGTGCAATCAGAATAAGAGTTTAGGGTCCCGTCTAGGCTCAGTTAACAAGAATGATAGATTAGTAATATCTGCCCAGGATGCAGAATTGGAAGAGAGTGGCATGACTAATACTTACCATTTCCATTCTCTGGCAGAGGAAGCATAAAAAATGTACTGTGTGTTTTGAAATGTGCACACTGTGTGATTCCATGTACTAGTATAGGAAGGCCTAGAACAGACAAAACTAGCTTATGGTGATACAAGTCAGAATACTGGTTACCTGTGTGTGGATAGGTGGGTGGTTTATTTATTTTAAAAAATATATTTTTATTGATTTCAGAGAGGAAGGGAGAGGGGGAGAGAGAAACATCAATGATGAGAGAGAATCATTGATTGGCTGCCTCCTACATACCCCCTACTGGGAATTGCGCCCACATCCCAGGCATTTGCCCCTGACAAGAATTGAACCTTTCAGTCTGAAGGCCAACACTCTATCCAGTGAGCCAAACCTGCTAGGGTGCTGTGGGTGATTTATTGGCTGAGATAGCACAAGAAGCTATCTGAAAATAGTCTACTAGTATATTCTGCTCTGGATGGTAATTATACAGACATACATATGTAAAAATTCACTAAGCTATATACCCTTAGGACTTGTGACCTTTCTTATGTCAAACCTCAGAAGGGAGGGGCAGCATTCCTTCCATGAGCCTTAGTGTGGCTGAGGAACTATATTAAGATATAACATACAAATCAACATTATTTCACAATTTGTCTTTATACACATGACACTCACCTGAATGCAAGGCATGCTTCTAGTTTTATTCTGTTCCCTGTATACTTTGTTCACTTCCTTCAGAGTTTTGTCCTCTTCCTTAGTTGAGAACACATAGACTATGATAATCTGGTCCATGGAGGACAGTTGCTCGTTTATAAGGTGATCATACTCCACGTCTGTCACTTCAGGAATGCTGTAAGTGCTACATCTGCAGAAGAACCCTTCCTTCCCACAGAGCATATTCCTTAGGACCACAGGACAAGCCAGATGGAAAGCAAACTGCCCAACCTTGCTCTCAATGGGAAAGGGAAGCCTAGAAAAGTAATGATAGAAATTGTGTTTGAAGAACTAAAAGGAAAGAAAGAACATACTCTTTAAAAGTACCAAAGAACCTAAGTGATTAATTTATTTTTGTCATTATTGTTATTTTTAAGAATTTGATTAAATTCCCCACACCTTTTTTCACAATTAAAATAAAAAGAGGAAAATAGCATTTCACATTGTATATACACCCTAAAGTGGTTACTTTAGTAAAGCACTGAGATTTAATTCTAGACTGAATTTTATTTGCCAAAAAATTAAAATACTTGTCAAGCTCAGCCAGGGTGGCTCAGTGGTTAAGTGGTGACCTATGAACCAGGAGGTCACAGTTCTATTCCTGGTCAGAGCACATGCCCGGACTGCAGGCTCGATCCCCAATTGTGCAGGGAACAGCCGATCAATGATTCTCTCTCATTATTAATGTTTCTATTTCTCCCTCTCCCTTCCTCTCTGAAATCAATAAAGATATATTTTTTAAAAATAAAATACTTGTGAATATACTAAAATAATTCAATGCCATTCTTATATATGTTATATATAAACTAGGGGCCCAGTGCACAAAGATTCATGCACAGGGGTGGGGGCCCCTCAGCCAATCTGCACCCTCTCCAATCTGGGAGTTTCTGTCTGTCTGCAATCATATGAGCAAATTGTCTGAGACCCCAACCCAGTTTGGTTTGGTGCCCACAAAATAATAGAGGCCTTTTTTTTTTTTTTTTTCCTTTGCTCCATTGGTGGAAATTTCCTAGAAGTTGCAGGATATCTTCTCTTTAAATTTTTCCTTGACACTGTGACTTTATTTATTGTACATCTCTCACCTTTGCTTTCCCTTCATCCCCCACCTGCAACAGTAACTTGCTCCAGGCTCACTTTGCTGTAGTGTGTAGGACAGTGGTCAGCAATCTTATTAGCCAACAGAGCCAAATATCAACAGTTCGACAATTGAAATTTCTTTAGAGAGCCAAATTTTCTCAATTTAAACTTCTTCTAACACCACTTCTTCAAAATAGACTCGCCCAGGCTTTTGTGAAAGAGCCACACTCAAGGTGCCAAAGAGCCACATGTGGCTCACAAGCCGAGGTTTGCTGATCACTGGTCTAGGAGATCTCTCAACAAGTCTGCCACCAGAACTACGATTCCCAGAATTCCTGGTGCTCCCATGCTCTTGGTTTCTACTTGCAGTCTAGGGGCTGCACAAACCAAAAAGACTGCAAACTCCAGCCACCCCCAGGCCGGGCTGATAGGACCGGACATTCCAGTGGTGTCCTTGGGACCCCAGCTGCTTGGCACTAATGCACATGCACTCTGGCTCAAAGCAGGCGGGATCCTGGGGATAACTGTCACGGAGGGCAGGTAAGCGCCCCACCCTGTTGGGTTAATTTGCATGCTCACTCCTAATTGGCTGTGAGTGTTGTGGAGGTATGGTCAATTTACATATTTGTCTATTATTAGTATAGATATGTTATAATCTATAATCTATCAGGGTTAGAGATTTTAGTTGCAAGCAACAGAAACAAATACTGGCTAACTTAAACAAGCATACAAACAAACAAGAACAAAGGAATTTATTTAAAAACTCAGAAAACCTTTGGAAAGGTAGGAGAATAGGGTTTTCAGGCACCGCTGCCAGGTAAAAAAAAAAAAAAAAAAAGCCCAATGGGGAGGAAACAGCCATGGCTGCTGGGAAGACTCTATATCTTGCACTGCTGGCCCTGCTGACCCAGGACACCAGTGCAATAATGCTGGAAGCCACTTGGGACTGCTATCCCTCCCTGCTTAGAGGGTCAGGGCAGTCCCTGCCATTGACTTAAGTTTGGGCAGGCTTGTTGGAGTGGTGGAGTCTAGATTATGTGTCCAGGCCCTCTCTTCAGACAGATTGGGAAAGCAGGGATCTGACATTTTTGGCATTCTGCCTCGGCAGGTAAGGGGGTTTCCAAACACAGAAAGTAGGTTCAGATGCTGAATGATCAAAACAAATAAGTTTTCCACAGTGATTTATACATTCACTTATCAATGAACATTGAGATAATTTTCAATTTCTTACTATCACAAACTCATCGAAATTTTTGTACATTTCTCTTTTTGTGCATAAGACTTTTACTTTAACGCAAACTTATCAACCTGCTCCTTTATATTTGTGTATCTTTTGTGTGTGTTTGGTTCAATTTATTTTCAACTTCAAGGTGAAAAATATTTTCTCCTTATGTTTTCTTTCTTTTTATTATTATTATTATTATTATTATTATTTGACTTTTCATATTTATCTCTTTAATCTATGTGGACTATTTATGATAGGAAGTAGGAATCTTAGGTAGATAGCCACTTGTCTCACTACCATTGATTAAACCATTCTTTCTTCATTGGTTTGTAATGTTATCTCCGTTGTATATTAAGCTCCCATATGTGTATGGGTCTGGATGGGGTTCTCTATTCTATTCCATTGGTCTAACTGGCATGGTGCCAACACCACGATATCTTAGCTACTAAAGCTTTTTCAAACATAAGATGACTGTGAATTATTAAGACAAAGGAGGCTGCTTACCTGACGGACTGCTTGCTGGCTGGGGTCTTTTGGATGCAAGGGGGAGGTGAAGGCTGAAAGACACCCTTCAGTTTTAGGTAAGTGTTTCTATATAGAAGATACTCCTTATTTTCATCTTTTCCCTTTGCACTTGGTTTCAGAAGAAATTCTGCTCGGGAGACTGCTTGTTTCTTGACCACTTTTGGTGGAAACTTGGGCACTTTGTACATGTGTAGGCAATCTAATCCTGAAATGTAAACAGAATAAACTTCATTGAAAACCCTTAGTAGACCAAGGTAATGGGCTGGGGTAATGCACTGCAATAATGTGGACACCCCTTCGCCCATTTACAGCAGTGCCTTTCTGTGTGTTCCTTTTAGTGCACTTTGTGGTCTGCGCAGAGGATACAGAGCATCCTATCTAAGAAAGGGTAATATGCAAATTAACCGTCACTCCTTCACAAACATGGCATCACCCATAGCCATAAGATGGCGATGCCCAGTCCTCTCAGCTCCACCAGAACCCCCCAATCCCAGGGAGGTGGCCACTGAGAGTGAGCAGTGTGAGTGGCCTGGCAGAATGCTTGTTTCATCACTGCGACGATGTGGCAAGCCTTCCACCCTGGCCGAGAATGGGCCTCTCCAACATGGAGAGCCTCTGGGCAGCGGGCGCGGAGCACCAAGCCCCGCAGAGAGCTACTGGTACACGAATTTGTGTGCAGGGCTACTAGTCTATGTAATAAACAAGAAAATGTCTAGGTTATCAACAAATCTAATCCACAAGGGTTTGGTTATCTGTGCTTATCTTGTGCCCGGTAATGTGCCAAGCACCTTAAACCCATTATCCCATTGAATGAGGGGCCAGTAGTCTTATTTTCATGATATCAGAGGTAAATCCAAGTTCACCCAGCTAGAAAGCAGAACCAGGATTTGAACATATCTATTTAATTTGGAAGATGGTGCTTGTAGATCAGGGCTGTAGATCAGGGCTTTCCAACCTCTTTTCATAAAGCAGAAATGTGTAAACTGTAAAGCCCAATACATATAGATTCTTATTATTAAAATGCAAATTTTGATTCTGCTTACAAGCAGCCCAGCTTCTCCCCTGAGGACAGAGGATTTCCGTTTTCAGTTCCTATGTAAAACATTTGTGGTGTATACTTTGGGAAGCTCTGTTATTTACTACAGTAAGTAGCAAACTACCTCCTAAAATGGAGACACTTGCCTTTTGGATTTAATATACAATTAATACTAATTATTTGCAGATTCAGTATTTTTGAATTTGCCTACTCACTAAAATTTATTTGTAACCCCAGGTCAATACTTGTGGCCCTTTCATGGTGATTTTGCAAATATGTAAAGTGGTGAAAATTTTAACTTGTGTTATGCATGTTCCCAGTTGAGGTTGAAAAAGGCAACACTCTGCCTTCTAGTTTCTACTGTCATACTACAAACTCATGTTCTTTACTCATGATGTCATGGTCTGTTCAGGGCCATGTTTATACATTTTTTTGTGCTTTTTGTTGGTAATTTTGCTATTTAAAATAGCCCACAAGCTTAGTGCTCCAAAGTGTAAGAAAGTTTGATGTGCCTTATGGAGAAAATCTGTATTAAATAAGCTTGGTTTGGGCATGAGTTATAGTGCTATTGGCCATGCGCTCAATGTTACTGTATCAACAACACAGGTTAAATAAGGTGTCTTTAGACAGAAACACACATAAATTAAAGTTTTGTATTGATTGGTTAATGAAAATATTGTGACCAGAGGCTAGAAGAGACCTCACCATATGTTTTCCCTTGAAGCAATGGTTTGATATTCACTTAATTCAGTGTTTGTAGAGATGCTGTAGAATCTAACCACCAAGAATAATGCAAATTAACTGTGTTATATCTCTAGTCAGGAACTGAGCCCTAATGGACTCTAATCAAACAGCAGCTTTGCATTCACATCACATTACAACAGCACATTGCAAGGAGCGTACCCACGCCTCTTCTCATCACAGCACATGAATGAAAGACATCAGCAAGGACTATGGTTTTGGTGGTGACTGAGCGGTGGTACTTAAGGGGTAAGAGTATTTTATGATCCAAAAAATGAAAGCCCCTCCTCTTAATAAAAAAACCAGCAGTGGCCAGATAGATCAACTCTCCAAAGAGAGTAAGGATATAAAATTATGATTGGCTCCTTTAATTTCTTTCTCTCTCTCTCTGTCTCTCTCTCTCTCTTTTTCTTTTTCACAGATTTTCACACTTACATAATAAACATACATAGAAATTTTGTTAGGCGGGCCAATTTCCCTCTGACAGAACTCCTTTAATTTCTTGCTATGGCCAATCACCTGGATCCATGGTAGGAATCTGTATGTATTACACTTTACAGTTTACAAACTCACCACCTCGGTAACCTTGGAAGGAAAAGGCATTTAAATGTTGATCCTCTGAAAATCTGAATAATGGAAATGAGTTATGTGCAGCAATACAGTGGATCCCATAACTGACCCAAGGAAAATCTGTAGTAATCCAGCCAGTTAAATAGGATGTCCTTGGCTTTTCTCTCTAGTCTTCTTAATTTAATAACTGTCGCAATGTCAAACATAGGGCTTATGTCCATTATTGTATCAAATGCAGCAGGATCCGCTGAACCTGATAAATTTGAAGGCTTTAAAACATACATATGAGAGAGAGAGTTTACTATATGATTAGGAAACATAAATTCATTAATTTATTCATTTACTCATTCATTCAGTAGGTTGTCCAACAAATGTTTATTGGGTGTCATTTATGGGCCAGACAATGTACCAGAAACCAGGACTAAAGATATAGTACATAAAAGTCATGTTCTCTGCTTGACTACCATGGCTTAGTGGTTGAGTGTTAACCTATGAACCAGGAAGTCATGGTTCAATTCCTAGTCAAAGCACATATCTAGGCTGTGGGCTCATTTTCCAGTGGGGACATACAGAAGGCAGCCAATCAACAATTCTCTCTCATCATTGATGTTTCTATTTATCTCTCCCTCGCCTTCTTCTGAAATCAATAAAAAAATTTTTAAAGTCATGTATCTTTGTGAATTTACTTAATGTCACCAAATTATGCATTTAAAAATGCTTACAATTGTAACTTTTATGTTATTCATATTTTACAGCCACAAAAAACTGAAGAAAGAAAAGCTATATTCCCTGTGCTCAAGGTGCTCAGTCAATGCAAGAACTAGATATATAAACATTATTATATAACACAAGGGCTATGTTATTTATAAGCACAGTGTTATGAGAGCATAAATAGATTACTTAATGTTTGTAATACTGAGCTTTTATTTATCAGAAGAAAGTTTCAAAGTAGTACATAATGAGGATATTAGACTTTAAAATGGATAATTATAGTGAGCAGTATGTGTGATCTTTTCACAATAAATTGGGTATATAAAGTAGTTAGCTTTTTATGAGCTTATATAACTATGAAAATTGTTGATAATTCAGTTTTATATATTCATTAAGACTTATAGATAGAGAATAAACTAACAGCTGTAAGAAGAGAGGGAAGTTTTGAGACTGGGTGAAAATGGTGAAGGATTAAGAAAAAAACAAATAAATAGACACAGACAACAGCATGGTGATTACCAGAGGAGGAGGGAGGGTTGAAATAGAAGAGGGTACAGAGGGATATATGTGATAGAAGAAGACTTGACTTGGGGTGAACACACAATACAATATACAGATGATGTATGATAGAATTGTACACTTAAAACCTATATAATTTTATTAACCAATGTCACCCCAATAAATTCAATAAAAAAGATGACTGGCAGGACCCGAGTAAAAGACAGAGACTTGGCTGACAGCAGCTGCCCTCTCACTACAACAAGACTTGTTTGAGTTGTCTTGTACCCATGGTGTGGGGAAGTGGGTTTTTGATATCTAAATCCAGCCTACCACCAGGAATGCTCAGGGCCTATTCAAGAAGGCAAATAGCCAGAACCGGTTTGGCTCAATGAATAGAGCGTCGGCTTGGGGACTGAAGGGTCCCAGGTTCGATTCCGGTCAAGGGCATGTACCTTTGCTATGGGCACATCCCCGGTAGGGGGTGTGCAAGAGGCAGCTGATCGATGACTCTCTCTCATCGATGTTTCTAGCTCTGTATCTCTCTCCCTTCCTCTCTGTACAAAATCAATAAAATATATTTAAAAAAAAAGAAGGCAAATAATCCTTTTCGCTATTATTTACATGGTAAAATAAGATTGTTTTAGAGTAATAAATTTGACAGTAAAATAGTAGACAAGTTTTCAGGCTAATTTAAATTGGCTAATTGAAATAAGCAAATATTCTAGAAAAATTAATTGCACTGGACAAACAGCTGTGCCTAAAGTGTTAACTAAAATTTTTATTGGTAGTTCATCTCACGATAAAATCTCACAACAGGAAATGAGCTCATAGCCAATTGGCTTGGAGATCAACGCTTCCCAGTAATACTAAGAACAAGCAAGGCTTAACAACAAGACTGCACACACAGGCCACAAAGGACTACACCAAGACTGTCCACCTCAGGTAACTGGGAAGCTGACTCACTGAACCATATAGGACACCTTAGCACACAAAGCCACCCTACCAACTCAGAGAAGCTGTGAAAATGCTGAGACAAGGAAATAGATCACAAATAAAAGAAATGGAGGAAAAGAAGAGACTGAATATAGAGTTCAAAACCACGCTTGTAAGGTTTTTCAAGAATTTCCTAGAAAAGGTCGATAAGACCTATGAGGAGATGAAAAGGGATCAACTAGAAATAATAAGGTATCAACAAGAAATAATAAAGGATCAACAAGAAATAAAGAACACATTGTCTGAAATAAAAAATATTATACAGAATCCTAAAAACAGAATGGAAGATCGCAAGAATCAAGACAAAGATTTGGAACATAAAGAGCCAGAAGACACTCCTCCGCAGAAGCAAGAAGACAAGAGAATCCAGAAAGTTGAAGATAATGTAAGAAACCTCTGGGACAACTTCAAGCAAACCAACATCACAATTATGGGGGTCCCAGAAGATGAGAAAGAGCAAGATATCAAAACATACTGAAAGAAATAGTGACAGAAAACTTCCCCCACCTGGTGAAAGAATTAGACTTACAAGTCCAGGAAGCACACAGAACTCCAAACAAAAGGAATCCAAAGAAGACCACACCAAGACACATCATAATTAAAATTCCAAGAGCAAAAGACAAAGAGAGAATATTAAAAGCAGCAAGAGCAAAGCAGGTAGTTACCTATAAAGGAGCACCCATACGATTGTCAGCTGATTTCTCAACAGAAACCATGCAGGCCAGATGGAAATGGCAAGAAATATTCAAGGTGATGAATAGCAAGAACCTACAGCCAAAAATAATCTACCCAGCAAAGCTATCACTCAGAATTGAAGGCCAGACAAAGAGCTTCACTAATAAAAAAAAGCTAAAGGAGTTCATCACCACCAAACCAGAATTATATGAATTGCTGAAGGGGGTTCTTTCGGAAGAGAAAGTAAATAAAGATAAAAACTATGAACAACAAATACGTAACTATCAACAAGTGAATCTAAAAACCAAAGGAATTAAAAAAAAATTTGATGAACAATATTAACTGGTGAATATAATAGAATCAGAGGTATGGAAGGGGAGTGAACTGATAATTCTTGGGGTAAAGGGGAGAGGGGCGTGTGGGAAGAGACTGAACATAAACTATGCACCTATGGATGAGGACAATGGGGGGTGGGGAAAGGGCAGAGGGTGGGGTGGGAACGTGGTGGAAGGGAGCAATGGAGGGGGAGTGGAAATAAATATTATAAAAAAAAGGGAAATGAACCTAAAGCAGTCATATAATAGTGCAAAAAATTAAAATTTAAAAGCTATCAAGACTACATTATAAAATTTTCAAAAGCCTCCTAATATTTAAATCAAAAAAGGGGGAAAGTAGAAGAATATCATGTAAGGAAACATATCCTGTAAGTAAATTAAATTTACTATCAAATTTATTACTCTGAAATTTGTACTTTAGAAAATTAATTATAATGCTAACAGCAAGACATCCATGAAAAACACACATGGTATCAAAATAAGCCAGAGGAAAATAATTTGGGCAAAAAATGAAAAAGGATCCCAAGTCAAATTTATAGAAAATATTCCTTTATTAACTTTTGGTCGAGAATATGTTTGTATATTTTCAGAAAACAACTCTGAGACCAAGTGGATTCTGGCAACAGAGAGGAATTGACAGGACTACTCCAATCATGAAGACAGAAGAGAAACAATCCAGAGATGGAAGACACTGACGATGCCTTGACATAATAGCAGTCAGCAGCTGTGTATCACTGCAGGTTGCCCAGGACCAAACCAGAGAGGGTTGGGCTTGCATTACCACCATATGTCCACCATGCAAAATTGAAATATCATTGCTGAAATATACACATAAGGAACCATTTGACATTAAATTGGGTCTCAAAAGAACTGTTGGACCAGAAAGAAACTCACTACAGACTAATTCATATGCCTTTCAGCATAACCATTATTGATTGTCTCATTTTTTATTCTTATAAGTATATTTCCAATAGGACATGATCTCACTCATCTAGGAGAAATGGTGAACAACATAGACTGATGAATAAGGAGCCCTAGAGATAAGGAGCCATGGTCAGACTGTTGGACCTCAAAGGGTGGGGATAAAAGGGAGAGATCAACCAAAGGACTTGTGTGCATACATATGAGCCCAACCAGTAGTCAAGGACAAAAGGGGGGTGAGGACATGAGTGGGGAGAGAGGAGGGATTGGAATAGGGGGTTGAGAACAAATATGTGATACCTTAATCAATAAATAAATTTTTTTAAAAAGATAACTGGCAATGTTGAATATTTCTCTGTGTGCTGGTTGGTCATTCATATCTTATTTTGTGAAATATCTGCTCAAATCTATAGCACATTTTTGGGGATTGTCTTATTATTGAGTTGTAAGAGATTACATACTTTGGATACAAATCCTTTGTCAGATACAATATTATGAATATTTTCTGTCTTTCTGTTGCTTGCCTTTCCATTTTCTTAGTGGTATCTTTCAAAGTTTTTACTTTTATTTTTTTTTAAGTTTTTACATTTGACAAAGTCAAATCTATCAAGTTCCCTGAAGTTTTGCTTTATTTTTTTGTTTGTTTGTTTTTTGTAAATGAATGTAGCTGCTGCTTTGGTCAATTATTGAGGAGCTTCATAGTTTTATAGACATGCTCTCCTAATTAACTTATAGCTCTCATTTATCTTAAATCCTCATTACCTTAAACCAGTCCATCATATCTTGGCTAGATTAGTGCAACAATCTTATGATTGACCTCCCCACACTTTATCCCCAAATATTGCCCCAGGCATATAGAACAGTTCTCCACCTGAGTGAGTACATTCTTTGTTGGAGGCATTCAGAAATATGCATGGGCCTTTTGATTGATGGCACAACAGGCACTTAGTTTGTGGAGACCAGGGACACATTCTGAAATGTGTTAGAATGTCCTGCATAAATATGAATTATCTGGCCCCAAATGCCAACAGTGCCCCCTTTAGAATTAATGTTCTAATTTAAAAAATCTTAAATGCAACTGTTTATGGCAGCTTTATCCATAATAGCCAAAGACTGAAAACAACCCAAATGCC